ACTTGAGCAATTCATATTACTTACTACAGAGAAATTGTATCTTAATGATATCATAAATGGATTAATTATCTTTTTGAAACATTGCAACTGCAAATAAATTCATACATATATGTTTTAAAATATCAAAAATTTTGTCACAAAGTACTTCTGAAACTGATGAGCCTCACCTAAGGGTTTTCAAGAAATCAATGGATCCTCTAGGGCTAAAACCTCTTTCTAAATAATGGTTCCCCACTAAAGGAAATAGATCTCTGTACAATTCTGTCTGGGAAAATACTGTAAGAGGATTTCCCCTTCCCTTATGACTGAAATACGATAAATACAAAATAATTACCAAAAGAAAACAAAGTTGATTTATTAATTACTTATTTTAAATTATTTTCATTTACATTCTCAAACACTTCAGATGGGAACAATAGCTTGTTTAATAAATAAAAAAATAAATAAATAAATAAATAAATAAATAAATAAATAAATAAAAACAGTTCAATAGCTGTTGCCTTTTGTGAAAAACACTATCTTTGGTTTTCCAGAGCTATATTTTTTAAGGAAGAGGATGATTTAAGTTCACTGCCCACTCCTGAAAAACCTAACCAACGCTTCCCTTCTCTTCTTATATAGTGACACTGTAGACTCACTCTGAACCACAGATTTAAAAAAAAGTAATAATTTAGAAATGATGAAACACTTTAAATTGCTTGAATATTGGATGCATCTCTCTGTTAAGGGCAGAAGGTTTTTAGCTCATGCACCGGCAGAACTCATTGAGAGGGCTTTAAGCTAGGTTTGTGGGTAAGAATTAAGGGGAAAGCCAAAAAGGCTGACATCCTGCTAGGAGTCTGTCATCGTCCACCTAATCAGGAAGAGGTGGACAACTTTTTAAAGCTGGAGAATGTCTCAGGATTATCTGCCCTTGCTCTTGAAGGTGACTTCAATCTGCCAGACATCTGTTGGGAACGTAATACAGCAGAAAAGAGGCAGTCCAGGAAGTTTTTTAAGTGTGTGGAGGACAACTTTTTGTCACAGCTGGTGAGTGAGCCCACCAGGGGAGGGACTATGTTAGATCTGTTGTTTGCAAATAGAGATGGGCTGGTGGGAGATGTGGTGGTTGGAGGCCACTTGGGGCACAGTGATCATGAAATTGTAGAGTTCTCAGTATTTGGTGAAATCAAGAGGAACACCAATAAGATTTTATACTGGACTTCTGGAGGGCAGGCTTTGACCTATTTTTGAGACTTATTCAGAGAGTTCCCTGGGAAGCAGCCCTTCAAAACAAAGGAGCTCAGGAAAGGTGGGTGTGCTTCAAAACAGAGATCTTGAGGGCACAGGAACAGACTGTCCCTGTGTGCCAAAAGACAAGTCAACAAGGCAAACATCCAGCCTGGATGGGCAAGGAGGTTTTGGAGAAACTTAACAATAAAAAGAGGATGTATCATCTTTGGAAGGAGGGTCAGGTCTCTCAGGAAGTATTTAAGGGGGCTGCTACAGCATGTAGGAAAAATATTAGGGAGGCCAAAGCTCAGTTTGAACTTAAAATGGTGACTTCTGTAAAGGATAATAAAAAATGTTTTTACAAATATATTAATGGTAAAAGGAATCGTAAGACCAACCTTTGTTTTTTATTAGATTCAGAAGGGAACTTAGTAACTGCAGGTGGGGAGAAGGCAGAAGTGCTCAATGCCTTCTTTGCCTCAGTTTTTAGTGGGAAAACAACTTGCCTTCTGGACAACTGTCCTCTTGGGTTGGTTGATGGTGTCAGGGAGCAGAATGGTCCCCCTGTGATCCAGGAGGAGGCAGTCAGAGAGCTGCTGAGATGTTTGGATATTTATAAATCTATGGGCCCAGATGGGATCCATCCTAGGGTGATGAAGGAGATGAGCTTGTAAAGCTGCTCTCCATCATTTACCAACAGTCCTGGCTCACTGGTGAGGTTCCAAATGACGGGAAGCTGGCCAATGTGACACCCATTCACAAAAAGGGTGGGAAGGAGGACCCTGGTAATTTTAGGCCAGTCAGCCTGACCTCAGTACCCAGTAAGGTAATGGGGCAGTTTATACTGAGTGCCATCACACAGCACACACAGGATGGCCAGGGTATCAGACCCAGCCAGCATGGGCTTAGGAGGGGTAGGTCGTGTTTGGCCAACCTGATCTCCTTTTATGACCAGGTGACCCACCTGGTGGATGCAGGAAGGGCTGTGGATGTTGTCTGGATTTCAGCAAGGCTTTGACACTGTCTCCCACAGCACACTCCTGGAACAGCTGGCAGCCCACAGCTTGGGCAGGAGCACTCTGTGCTGGGTTAGGAGCTGGCTGGATGGCCAGGCCCAGAGAGTGGTGGTGAATGGTGCTGCACCCAACTGGTAGCCAGTCACCTCAGGGGTCTGTGCTGGGGCCAGTCCTGTTCAATATTTTTATTGACAGTATGGATGAGGGAATTGAGTTTTTCATTAGTAAATTTGCAGAGGACACTAAGCTGGCAGTGCAGTGTGTATTGATCTGTTGGAAAGGAGGAGGGCTCTGTAGAGAGAGGTGGAACAGTTGGATGGATGGGCAGAATCCAACAAGATGAAGTTTAATAAATCCAAGTCCAAGTCTAAATGTAGGCCACATTTTGCTACAAAAATGTCGGCCATTTTTTGCTACACTTTGGCCACAATAACCCCCTGCAGTCCCCACAGGCTGGGAACGCTGTGGCTGGACAGTGCCCAGGCAGAAAGGGACCTGGGGGTACTGGGGACAGCCAGCTGGACATGAGCCAGCAGTGTGCCCTGGTGGCCAAGAAGGCCAATGGCATCCTGGCCTGCACCAGGACTGGTGTGGCCAGCAGGAGCAGGGAGGTCATTCTCCCCCTGAACTGGGCACTGGTGAGGCTGTGTGGTGAGGCACCTCGAGTGCTGTGTCCAGTTCTGGGCCCTCAGTTTGGGAAGGACGTTGAGACGCTTGAGCGCGTCCAGAGGAGGCAACGAGGCTGGTGAGGGGCTTGGAACACAAACCCTGTGAGGAATGGCTGAGGGAGCTGGGGTTGTTTAGCCTGGAGAAAAGGAGACTCAGGAGTGACCTCATCACTCTCTCCAACTTCCTGAAAGGTGTTTGCAGTCAGGTGGGGGTTGGTCTCTTTCTCCAGGCAGCAA